GAAAATCTTTTTGACAGAGACATTTAAAAAACTATGCTTAATTATAAGACTCTTTTATGTAAATTTTTGAATTTTTAATTCTTATGTAAAAGCTGTTACTTAGACTTGAATTGGTATTTTTAGACATTCATCAAATTGTCATTTCATTATTTTAAAATCAGTCCTCTTCAGGAAATAGATGACTAATATTAATGTCATCATTATCAGGAAAAAGCTCAGCATCTGTGTGATTTTTTTTTTTTTTTTAGATGAATTGAAATTCTTTTTACAGGTTTGGTTTTTATAGCACATCTTAGCTAGTTAATGTGTTATGGAAGAACACATTGGCATAATGGAGCTAGCTACATGATTCTGGAACAGTGTTAAGTGGGAAGACTTGGCTAGCTAGAGGTAAAACATGGACTCTAAGGAATTAGGTTACTGTCTGAAATTTTTATTTGTGTTAGTGGGAGGAGAGTAAGATATAAATGATGAAGAAAAGCCAGAAAACATTGTTTTTTTCTTTTTCATTATTAACCTTGATGTACTAGAATATTTAAAATGCTTTCTTAGCCTTAAATGTCTTCAAGCTTGGAAATGACAGAAAATGTGTTTAACAGTATGCTTTAAGATACTTGAATTTTGCTTTAATTTTAGTTTGGATTCATGTGTTAGGTAGGTTAAAAGTAATTTAGTGCTCTGAGATTCACCATCTTAGGTTTTTGTCATGCAAATATTGTCTTCTATAGGAATATCAATTACTGATAACATGATAAAAAGACTCCTGTATTTGGTTAACTACCGATTGATATGTATATGGCTCTTGGTGCTACAAAAATATAGGTATTAATATCCATGGCCTTTCTTCCCATTAGATTTTACAAAGTAGATCATTTGCTAGGGAATTTTTTATTGTTCCTCTAGTACAATAGTGACTAAAACATTACCAGATAGTTACAAGTAAGAAACTGAATGTTCAAACATAGCTCTTTTCGATTAAATAAGTACTTTGTTATTTTTATCTTTAAGTAAAAATTTTCGTTCATTTCACTGATGTGCATTACTATCTTAAATGTCATATTTTTTAAATAAAAATTTTTTAAATTTATTTTTTATGTTTGTATAAATTATTTAACTTACTTCCAAGTTTGTTAAATGCCATAATGTTTTAAAGCGGTAGGTCTTTCGTCTTGAATGTGATTGTAGAATCAGACTTCCTATTCCAGTCTACCTAACAAAGAGCAGAGGGAAACATTCAGATGTTCCAAAGTTTCCTTTTATTTAGGTCAAAAACCAAACTGTGGGTTTTATTTATTCATTTTAGAAACATGTCTTACTGAATAAGAACATTGTACTTATTTATTCTTATTAAAAGTTTGCTAAAGATTGGCAGCTTGTTTCTCATTTATTGTCAATGAGATGGACATAGGAAACAAAAACAAAATTTCAAGTTCCTCTTTAGTCTGGTTTATCTGTTTATCTTCCTTTTATCTACTCATGCATTACATCTGATGTTTATCTAACATGACTATCTTTAAGGTATAAGAGACCTACTTCATCAGTGTTATTTTTTAGCTGTTCATATTTTTCTTTGCATAATGGTTTCCACCATTGAGCTCTCGTTGTAGTTAGAGATAGTATCATATACTGACCATTAATCCACCTTAGCTTTTCTCAAGGTTATTTGCCCTAATCAAAGAAGACTGAAAATTATTTGAATAATTGTTTCCTCAGTTCTCTCAAGAATACATATATAATTACTATCGCCCTGGTTACATAATAGAAAAGTTATTTCATTACATACAAAGGATGCCTTAGGTAATGGTTCTCAAAGTGTGCTCTTTGACCCTCTTGGACCTTTCAGAGGTCCAAAAGGTCAAACTTACTGTCTTGTTGTATGGGGGAATAGGCTCAATGGGTGATAGGCATTAAGGAGGGCACTTGCTGTGATGAATCACTAAATTCTACTCATGCAACCATTATTACATTATATGTTAACTAACTTAGATTTAAATACAATTTAAAAAAATTTTAAATATTTTCTTAATTCTAAGACCTCATTTGTCTTTTTTGTTCCCATTCTTTAATAAATGTACAGTGGAGTTTTCCAGAGCTACATGGTGTATAATATTAGAATAGATTGAATACAGAAGCAGATACGGGGATTTAGCTGTCTTCTCTTCAACACAACATTAAAAAATGTTTGCAAAGAGGAGTGCCTGGCTGGTTTAGTCAGTTAAGCGTCCAACTCTTGATTTCAGCTCAGGTCATGATCTCGTGGTTTTTAGGTTCAAGCCCTTCATTGGGCTCTGTACTGATGGCACAGAGCCTGCTTGAGATTCTGTCTTTCCTTCTGTCTGCCCCTTACCTTCTTGTGTTTTCTATCTCAAAATAAATAAATAAACTTAAATAAATACATTTACAGAGATGTACAAGAATGCTATTCTTGCTAATTTTTTTGTTGTTTTGGAAAATGCATGTTTTATAAAAATACATTACTCGAACGTAATTGTTTTGTTTATAATTAACATATGGGGTGATCTTCACTTTGCACAGTTCCAATATGTACTAATTTCAGGTACCTGAAAATTTCGTTAATACCAGCCCTATAATAACAGTTCTTGTTTGACTACCACCATATATTAACTGTAATTGCATAAAATAAAATTTTGTTGCTGGTACTTTAGTCTACAAATCACTGTTATTAAATGCTCATCATAATTAGTGACCAATCACATCACTTCTTTCTAAGTGTGTCTAGCATTGGTCACTATTCATGTGTTGTTAGTTCATACACAGAGATCAAAACCTATCATTGTGTTGCTTCCTTGTGTCCCGGTGATAAAAACACATGTTTTACATAAATGGATAATTTAAAGAATGGCAAAGAAACAGAAAATCTGATATTGGAAGTGAAATTTGAATTGAACTTGAGTGGAATTATAGAAGACATAGTTGATCAGAGGAATATTGACATAGCTGCTATTCAACGGAATTCAGGTATGCAGCCATAGGAACTTAGTGAAGGGGAATGTATTGATATAAGAGAACAGAGTTGTTGTGCCAAAAAGGAGGTCCCAGTATAAGTGGCACTCAGACCATTTCACATTATAGGACCTCTCAGAGATTTTCATAGTTGAAAGTGCAAAGGATAAAATGTTGGAAACCGAGGGTGCCTGAGTGGCTCAGTTGGTTAAGCATCTGACTTTAGTTCAAGTCATGATTTCAGTTCATGAGTTTGAGTTCTGAATCTGGTGAGCACGAGACCTGCTTCGGGTGAGACCTGCTTCTCTCTCTCTCCCACCCCTCCCCCCACCTCTGCCCCTTGTGGGATTCTCTCTCTCTCTCTCCATCCACTTCACTCACATGCACCCTCTCTCTCTCTCAAAAAAAAAAAAAAAAAATTGGAAACTGATCCAAACTTAGGAATAATTAGCCAAGGCATAGAAAATATGCTCAGCCTATATCTTAAGTTATACACTAAGAAAGAATGCAAGCACTGTTCAAACCACTCTTGGTAAATTTTTTATAGAGAAGACATTTAAAAATTCTCAGTAATTCTAATGTTTTAAATTATACTGTTGAGGCTCCTGAGTAGCTCAGTCCGTTAGGCATCGGACTTTGGCTCAGGCTGTGATCTCGTAGCTCGTGAGTTCGAGCTCTGCATGGGGCTCTGCACTGACAGTGAGGAGCCTTCTTGGAATTCTCTCTCTCTCTCCCTTTCCTTCTCTCTCTCTTTCTCTTTCTGCTTCTCCCGTGCTTGTGTTCTCTCTCTCAAGATAAATTATAGTGTATTTTATAAATATTTCACTGGTTTTTAAAAATTATTTCTTTATACATTATACCTGGCAACAAAGAGAGTTTTTTAATACAGAGTTTTTGGATGTAATCCACATAAATAAATCTCTTTATATTTCTCTTTATATTATATCCTGTGTTTTCTGTTTTGATTGAACAGTATAAGCAATAACTCTAAAGCCTAAGAAATAATTTGTATTCCTTTATCTCCCTCATAGTTTACATTTCTAATTATTTAACAACTCTCATAGTTATCTCCATTGCCTCCTTCCTCACTGATTGTCCTTACTTAGGCATTCATTTGTCACCCTTAATAAGTCATGACTCTAAAGGGAGGGCATGAGGGAGTTGCTTTAGATGACAGAACTGTTCTGTATCCTGACTTTGATGGTGGTTACACGAGTGTTGTTATATGTTAATAATCATAAAATTTTCTTTTGTCTTGCTGTGATATTGGCATTTAAATACTTCTTTGTTCTTTGGAAATAGGGCTTACAAATAAATGAACAAGTACTTACTGACAGCAGTGTTCAAGGCATTGTCCTCTGTGCTGAGGAATATATAAATGTGCAGAAGACATGTTTCTGCCCTAAAGGAGTTTATATTCTAGTAAGATTGAGAACCACAGATAACAACAGTAGGATAAACTGTAATGCTACTTAAGGAAGATACGATAGGAATATGCAGGAGGATAATTCTTCATTGAAGAGGTGGCATTTGAGCTAAGTCATGGAAAACATTGATTACTGACAGTCAAAAATAGAGACAAAGGATATTCTGATAAGGAGAAATATAGCACACTTGACAGATTTGTAAGTTTTCCTGTTTACGAAGGTCATAAAAACTTAGGATCTATACTTCATGCAATCTCTCATCCTATTTTATTCAATTTTGTGCTCTAAAACTCTTAAAAGCATTTGGGTCTGACACATTTCTTACAAATAGTATTGTAGCTTTTGAGTCTTGGAGTAAATTTAGGTCAGTTTTAAAATTCATATTTTAATGTCTGTGAAGACAGTGAGCTATTCCTAAGTCTTAGTGTGATCAGTAGACAGTAAATATATAAGTGAAAGCCTGAAATTCATATAAAATTTTCTATTTACAGAGTTAATTTAAATAGGTAGAGTTTTCAATATACATAATACTTAGTATTTTTGTAATAAATGCTTTCTTTTCACTTTTCCTAGTTGGGTGAATAAATCAACTTTTTTTTTTTCCCACAGGTTTTCCGTGAAGACCCTGATTGATCGATCCTGCTTTGAGACAATTGATGATTCTTCTCCTGAATTTAACAATTTTGCAGCTATTTTGGAACAGATTCTGAGTCACCGGCTGAAAGGTAACAGAATTAATATATTTTTATTCTTTCGACAGCTTTCTTTTTAATAAACTGGAAATTTTACAAGCCATACAGTCTGGTATGATTTAGACAATAGCCATTCTCCATCTTGAGAAACATAAAACTGATTTTAGAATGCCTAATCTTTTGGCCTGTCCTTTGTCCCTAGAAAAGAATTTCTGTTCTCAGATTTATGCCTATTTCCAGGATTCATTAAAAGTGTTGAGTGTATTGTCACATACAAGGAGAAAAGTCACTTTTCTTTTTTTTAATCTGTTTTTTTTTTTAATTTATTTCTGAGAGAGAGACAAACAGCGTGAGAAGGGGAGGGTCAGAGAGAGAGGGAGATACAGAATCTGAAATAGTCTCCAGGCTCTGAGCTGTCAGCACAGAGCCTGACACGGGGCCAGAACCCACGAACCGTGAGATCATGACTTGTGCTGAAGTTGGACGCTTAACTCACTGAGCCACCCAGGTGCCCCGAAAAAGTCACTTTTCATAAGTAATTAAAATGAAAGCTTAAATTAAAAGGTAGCCTATTTTCAAAGGTTACTAGGTGCTATTTTAACTAGTTTACAAAGGCATAAAATTTGTTTGCCTAATCTTTACTTCGTTAAACTTTGGAATCTTTGAACTTTTTTTTTTTTTTTAACATAAATAGTTAAAAGAGGTATGTAAAATGATGTTCAACTATGGTTTTCTTAAAATAAATCAGTAAATATATTCACATTAGAAAGATGATTCTGTGGTCTCTCAGAATTATAAGAAATATTTACATTAAAATACCTGTAAACATAAGCTAATAACATCAAGAAATATTATGTAGTATAAATCAGTAGTAATAAATAATAACTTTATCACATCAATTCCATTATTTATCTTCCTAAAGGAAACTTGATCATCAAAAGTTTTCACTTAAGTTTTTATTATCTTTACTATCTTAATGGTATTGTTTTAAATCAGTAATCTGCTTTCATAATATAATTTAAGAGAATTGCAAATTTAACCTAATGCTTAATTCTTTTCTATGCTTTTTGATGCTGAAAGCATCAAGTTTTTACTCTCAAGTGTTTAAATAACTTGAGTGGTCCTTTGGGCCTATAACAAAGGGTTAAATTTAATTTCATGGGAAAACAAAATCTGGATTCAGTCAGCCCTTTGTGATTTAAAAAGGGGCCCATAACATTGCTGATGCTCTTTTTCTGTTAAAAGTTTGTTATTTTGCATTTAAAAAGTTATTTTTTACTTATTTTTGCTGTACTGCATTTCCTAAATTTTCTGCCATTAATGTTACCTGTTATAAGAAAATAAGTTTTTATAAAAGCAAAGGCTACGAGAAGATTTTGAGATACTGTCCAGGTTACTGTATTGTGTGGTGATCATATTTTAGAATTATAAATTTATAAATAATACTTGAGTTAATAAACACATGCAACACAGTAGACCTTGATGTACCTTAAAATTTACAAAAGTTTTATCACAAGACTTCACTTGCCTTGATGCAGTATACCATTTAGCATATAATTCACTCACAAAATACATAACTATCAGCAGAAAACAGGCCATGTTGAGATATCCATGCTGAGTGATTGGGCATACTCCTGACCACATAAGTAGACCCCTTCTGCACAATAGTCTGCCATCTTCTGAGTCAGACGTCAGCAAAATATAGATGATAGATCTTTAGAATTACTGAATAGTGAACATTATTTCTTTTTTTTATGTGTATTTATTTTGTGAGAGAGAGAGGGTGCATGCGAGCAGGGGAGGGACAGAAAGAAAAGGAGAGAGAGAGGAAGAGAGAGAATCCTTAGTAGGCTCTACACTATCAGCACAGAGCCCAACATGGGGCTCCATCTCACAAACTGTGAAATCGTGAACCTGAGCTGAAATCAAGTCAGATGCTTAACTGACTGAGCCACGCAGGTACCCCCAATGAATGTTATTTCAGGGATTCCATTGAACTACCATGTTGAAAATAGAATTTCTAGTTGATTTATGGATGAGAATCCCACTAGTGTGGCTCAGACAGTAAGAATGATGATACAGGGAAATTTGTGTTAATTTTTTAAGCTAAGTAAAATTAATTATTTAAAGTAAGCTTTTAAAAAAGTTTCTGTAGGGGCGCCTGGGTGGCTTAGTCGGTTAAGCGTCCGACTTTCGCTTGGGTCATGATCTCGCGGTTCGTGGGTTCGAGCCCCGCGTTGGGCTCTGTGCTGACTGCCAGCTCAGAGCCTGGAGCCTGTTTCAGTCTGTGACTCCCTCTCTCTCTGGCCCTCCACTGCTCACGCTGTCTCCTCTCTCCTCTAGAAATAAATTAAAAAAAAAAAAAAAGTTTCTGTAGATTGACTAATGTAGTCACTGTAATTAGTATAAACATGAATCATGAAATGATACTTAACTTTTGAGATGAGCTGTTTAAAATGTTTTTAATGTTTATTTTGAGAGAGACAGAAAGAGAGAGAAAGACAGACACAGAGTGCGAGTGGGGTTGAGGCAGAGAGAGAGGGCGTCACATAATCTGAACAAGATTCCAGGCTCTGAGCTGTCAGCACAGAGCCTGATGTCAGGCTCTATCCCATGAGCCACAAGATCATGACCTGAGCCAAAGTCAGACCACTTAACCAACTGAGACACCCAGGCACCCCTAGAAGTACAGATTTAAAATGTAGAACTTTGTGGGTTTGTGAGACTTACTTTTCTCCAGGTACTTTTTATTTTTGAAATAAAAGAGCATTTAGTTTAAATATTAAATTTTTCAGAGAAAGGTAAAATCCACCCCCAGGCACAAAATAGGCTGAACTGACACATGTAAAGTGGAAAACTGAAAGTTATTTACTTATTTCATTCTAAAAGTCCCAGTATTGAAAAGGAAGGTTTTAAAACCACAGCTATTAATCTCCTTTACGGTTATCTCTCAATAAAATAATGATCTTACTTTACTGGAATATAGCTGAGAACTAGGAATTATTCACAGAATATAGAAATCAAAAAGACCTCAGTTCAGATCTTAACTAATTTTTGAGCTTTTATTTATTTTAAAGTCTCCTCCTCTCCACCCATCTGCACCTGCCCTAATAAAAGCCACTGTAGACACTGGCTGTATAGGTGGAGTGTTTGGTTGAAGCAGATCAAGAAAATTGGGCATTTTACCTGCTCAGCAGCAGTTGTACCCCACCCTGCAAATCAGTAGTATTACTGTAGGTAGGACTATGAATCACAGATTAAAAAGTTCTCTAATTTCTGTCCTTCTGAAGCGGTGTACTCAACAATACTCATGACTGGTACACATACAGTCTTTGTTTCAGTACTTCTGATGTCTGGGAACTTAGGATAGTAAAGCAGTTCATCACATTTATGGGCAATTTGGATTGTTACAAAATTCTTATGTAAATGAAGCCAACCTATCTGACTCTGCTTTGATCTGTTTTCTGCCACTTTTTTTTCCAGTTTTGAACCTAATATTAAAAGACTGCTGTTATATAACTCTTTCTCCTCAGTTCTCTTTTTTCTAGGTAATGTATCTGTAGTTTGTTCAACCTTCTGGAACCACCATAGGCTTAGTTCTCCTGGTTTATCACTGGTTTATTAGTATTGCTCTTAAAATGTGATACTCATAGCTGAGTAAAGTGCTTCAGATAGGTCAACTCTGTATTAGTTCAGAATTTAAGATTATGCTGACATTTTGATTCCCACATCACACTTTTGGTTTTCATTGAAATCAAGACTAAGTCAAATCCCATAGTTTTTCAGAAATTGACTATTGCTTATTTTAGGTTTTAGTAAATTCTCTAAATTAATTGCCTATGTACAAGTTTTATGGGGATAAATACAGTATTATTTCCGTTGTCATCCACTTTATAGATGGATGAGGTGGCTATAAAAAATTTTAGAACTTCTAAAGATGAAGTGGACTATTTTTTCCTATTTCTCTCACTATATACAAAAGCCTGGACATTATTATATAAAACGAATGAAGACTGTTTAAGACTGTTTAGGGACTCTGAAACTTTGAGAATGAAGTAGTTTGTTCTTTGAATTTTCTGATTGTCTTGTATACCAAGATTGGATAAGCCAGTTGCTTATAGACCTCAATATGTGCAGAGAGCAAGATGGAAGACTTTTAGTACCAGTTCTGTGCCACAGAAAAAATGTGGTACCACCCCCTCCCAGGCCAGAAAAGCCTAAGGGGGCACTTCTCCTGAGGGTATAACAGTATATCCCACCAGCACCACCAGAGTGGTGTCAAAGAAGACCATGCAGAGAACTAGGACTTGAGAACTGGGACTTCTTCCCTCCTGGCTGGTTGTGAGCCTTCTCTTCCCATCTTACCTCTTACCCTCACCATGTAAATGGAGAGCTTGGATTTCCATTCCCAACCCAGTAGTAATGAGGGGTCATTGCCCTGCCATCCTGAAGTTGTGTCAGAAGAGACCTATTGGAGACTGAGGTCTTAAACCATCACCCAGTAATAACAAGGCTACCCCCAGTGCATTGGCAGTGGAGACCTTGTAGGAAGCCTGGACTCCCACCTCCACCTAGCAGTAATGAGAACTCCCCTCTCAAATGTCAGTGGAAGTCAAATGGAAACATTGGACTTCTCCCTCCACTTGGCAGTAATGAAGTGGTCCCACCATTCTTGACCTTCGCCTGCCAGAACTGTCATAGAAAGCCAGTGAAAACAAAGTTTAAGTAAGACCCCAAGACTCATAACATGAACATGTTCAAGTTTCATATGAAGATCACTTGTCGTAACAGGAACCAAAATCTCAAGTTAAATGACAAAAGACAACCAATAGAGGTCAACACTGAGATTACAGAAGTACTAGTGACAAAGATCATAAATTGATCATGATAAAAATACTTCAATGAGCAGTTAGAAACATGCTTGAAACAAATGAAAAAGTAGACAACATCAACAAAGAAATAGACGACATAAAGAAGAACCAAATAGAAACTTTGGTACAGAAAGTACAAAACCAAAATAAAAAGCTCAATGA